AAAAAAAAAAAAAATACTGTTTTTTTCAATAATTTACATGTTTTGTAAGCGTGGATGTAAACTAATACTTTAGAACTCAATGTGAAGCACTATGATTAATTAATGCACCCAATATATTAAAAAAAAAGAAACTTGTATAAATTTTAAATATTTTATTGCAAGTCCAATTAACGATATTTCTATCTAATTTTCGTTCTTCAAATGTATAATTTGTTTCAAACTTTCGCAATCGTAATTTTTATATATATAATATTGAAATTGAGTTGTAAGATTATCAACGATATCGTATAAAATCGTAATGAACATTAACGTATATTTATGATGCATATATATATATATGAACTGTATGATAATTCATTAGTTTTGTTTTTTGAATTTTTTATAAAGATATACGAATCGACCAGCAATGATATAGTTCGTCAGAAATTACTTTTTTTTTTTTAAATCTCATCTATCTTAAAGAGAATCTATTGACACGTGCGTTTCATAATACAGATGAAAGAATAATACTGTGGTTATAAATGCATATCAGAATAATGTCGAGGGATAATATATATATGTATATATATAACATCTACCAAATATGGCAAGTTTACGTTTTATTTTGTAAAAACTTGTAAGTTCTCGAAAAATAAACTATATGATATTTCTTAACAATATAAGTAATATTTAAACAAAAATATATATATTATATAAAACTCTTTGCCTTCAAATGACACAGAAAGAAACGATGAAGTAAACAAAATTATATACCGATATTTAGGTCGTGAAAATGAAATTACAAAACGTTAGAACTAATTAGAGCTTAAGTTATCATCGTAAGGATATCACGTTTACCTATAAAAGGTATTGAATTTAAAAAAGAAAAAAAAAAAAAAAAAGAAAGAAAAACGGAAATATTTATAATGCGAACTAAACCCTAAATCGATATAATACTTTCGACCGTAGGAACTTAAAAAATGTCCTGCAAATCTGCATCTAATTTATATATCATGTGTATCGCCACCTCGCGCTGATTACACGATGTGAAACGCCTCGTAACAAGCGTTCAATTATGGTATTTAAAAGTACATAGAATCCAAGTAACGAGTAACATCAATGTCTAATAATTAATGATGGATATAAATATCTGAAGGAAATCTAGAAAATAGACTCGCTACTTTCACACACTGTTACGGTAGGAAACAAAACAGAGCTATCGCGTAATATTCCCGACAAATGGCAGTATCATATATAAACTTCTTTTTTAAAGCTTCTCAATTTTGAAAACTGTTTTCTAATAGTGCGTAACATCTAATATGATGTGTGTGATATTATATCTAGATTAATTAAAAAACTGACTTGTACGATATACATACATGTACATACATATACATATATAAAGATAACGATGATACAAACAGATGAAAAATCGTAAGGTAAATGTGCAACTGTCTCATTTTTTTCTTTTTTTTTTTTTTTTTTTTTTTTTTTGTACCGCTTAATTGCAATTATCTATCGAAAACAAGAAATAAATGTATATGCATGGTAGTTTGTTCGCCGTTTTTCTAGGCTTACTGATCCATTTTGCGCATACCACGTCCCATGTTTACCCTCGACGAAAGTTCCTTCGGCAACGTATGGTAAGTTGCATTTTTTTGAAAATGAGGTACGTAATGCTGCGGATGCATGTTGTATGTTATGGGTTTTACGTCCGACCGTATGGTTGAATTTTGCATATTATCAGTCTTTCGCGAGTAATTAACTCCGTAGTACATACATTCTCTTGGCGACACCATAGGTGGTACACATTCAGGAGTATTTTTTGATACATCATCTTTTCTGCTGTTGGGGTACTGATTATTGTGAAACACAGAACAAGACTCTGGAATTCTTTGATAACCGGTAGCAAAACCGCATGGATCGTATTTCTGATTCACTTGCATGTGCATATTCGACGGGCCATTCTTAGGGTCCATTGTAACCGCGTACGAGAACGGTACCATCAACTGATTATCTTGAGAACAATTTTGATATTCGTTTGGCACAAGTGGTCGATACTGACTAGGTCTCATGTGAACGTCTACAGTATTATCCTTCATTCTGACATTATTCGTTTTACAACCTTGCACATTTCCCATGTAATTGTCAAGTTTTATAGGAACAGAAAAGCTCGGAGCATTTTCCATGGGTTGCACCTGCTGGAAATGTTTATACAGATTGTTCTGTACAGACGTTGACACAGGGCAATTCATAGAGTCTGTCAAAGTGTTTGTTGGTAATACTTGATTTGGAAATGTTGTGCAATTGTTATATGGAGGATTTTGGTATAATCGTGCTGGATACTGTATCATGGGATTCCAACTTTGCATGCACATCGGTGGAACGTAAAATAATGGTTGTTGCAAATAACTTGGTTGTTGAATGTTGTTGAAATCTGTGTTGCACATGTTTCTGGAATTCTGCATTGGTATGTTCAAAGAATGCGGAGGATTCATCATATTTCCAAAAAGAAACACATCAGGTAGAGGCAAATTCCACTGATTAGGCTGCGTAGTTATAGGATGATTGTGAAAACCTGGTGGAGGTATAACCGATGTTTGAGTATTATGCATTAAAATGTTGGAAGGATCAGTTTGCAACATGTTTTGATTCTCTACAGTGTAAGAAGAAGTACTTGGAATTATAACATTTTGAGGGATAATTGTACTGTCGGCTGTTTTTCTTGGTACAGTTTGTGTATTGTTATAGTGATTTAGATAGACAGCAGGCATATTCTGATACGGTAAACCATTTCCCATAGTGATAGTTGGATTGGAATTATGATGTGGTAATACATTTTGTTGTGATATATGCGACATTTGTTCTGGTTTTTGATGCACTAAATCCATAATATGTAAATCTCGTTCAGTGTTCTGGTTGTTGGTGGTCGTATTATTATATTGAGAATTAGTATTATCAAAATAACTTTTATTTTCTACATTTTGATGGTTTTCAATTTGTTGAGCATTATTTGAATGTGATATATTCTGTAAATCAGAATACAACGAATTTGCTGGGAGCTTGTTTTGATGTATGGAATTATCAGAATATGATATTGCAGAATGATGTGACATATTAAATTCTTGAATGTTATCTAAAAATTTAACTGATTTCGTTTCTGAATTACTAGTACTTGTTTTATTATTGCTATTATTATTACTAGTATCTTCTTGTTCAGTCTTCACAAATTGTACTTCAGTTCCATTACAAGAAGCTTGTGAAATCTGTGATTCTTGTGGTGTATGAGATGATGTATATATACCTGTGCAATCTTTGGTACTATTCGAAAAAGAATTTAATGGATTTATAGACTGTACATTATTTATAGCAGTTGAATCTAATGCATCAGTCTTTGTATTACTAGCACCGTTACTTGTCTTATGAGAGAATACAGTTATTTTTGAGCCTTTAGATTGAGAACGCATTCTTCCATCTCCTGAATTAATATGATTTACTCTGTAATCTTTCGTTATGTTATTATCCGTAATATTTCTTTTGTGATCATCTGTTTTTGTTTTTCCATTTACATCCTTAAAGTATGTCTGAAGAACACCTGAAGATCGCCTATAAATATTTGAATCTTTCTTAAATTTCTGATTGTATGCCTGATCATCTCTAATATTTCTTTCATTACTATTCTTTGCATTAGATAAATTGGGATAATTTCGTTTATTTGATATCGAGTTTGACTTTATTGAATTCCTTTCATTTGTGTTGCAGTCTGTAATATTTGAATTCTTTGTACCTTTTCCAAAAGCGTTCTGATTGGATTGTATATTGCTAATTTGTTTATTTGTTGAAGATTGTTGTGTTTCACATTTCTTTCTTGATACGTTCTCAGTTGAATTAGACACATTAATACTGTTATTAAAGCCAGATGGATTATTAATACAACTATTTTCTTCTGGCTTAGTTGTATTTCTTGAATATCGTTGCTGTGATTTTATTAAAGATTTATTCCTAATGTATTGGACATTATATGATTGAGTGCGTGTCACTTCAACCTTATGACATTTTTTTATGTCATCCACTTCATTGCTTTTTTTGTCTAATTCACTTCCACTTGGTTTTAATTTTGTTGTAACAGATTTACTTTTCTCATCTAATCCTTCTATGGATCTGCTTTTATTACCACTATCATTAAATGTAGAAAAATGTTGTTTAAAAAATTGTTGCTCTTTCATTCGTGTCCCTTTTCCTGCGATTAAATTTTTATTGTAACTATTGACTTTGTTATATTTATCATTAAGCTTAGATGTTGTCCCTACAGCTATTCTTTTTGGATCCATAGAAGTTGAGGTTACAATATTATCATTACATAAATTGAACAAGTCATCCTTAGATTTAGAACCATGTTTCGAGTTCCAAGATTCTTTTAAAGAGTTACCTGCAAGCAAAAAATTTTCTTTTTAGTGCAAATTTCTTTCAACAATATCAACATTGAAAATTTCAACAATATCAACTTTGAAAATTTCATTCTTACCTATTTGTTTTTTAATTTTTTGGTCACTTAATCTTTTAGTATTAATTTTTGAAGTTGTCTTCTGTATATTTATCTTTGTTTCCAGTGATGACTGACTTTTGGATTGCTCATTATTATTATTGTTATCATGACATTGCTTTGAGCTTACTTGATTATCTACGTCACTGTTTGACTTTGATATATTATGCTGGTCATTATCCCTAACCCACATAAGTAACACATATAAAATATACAAATTCACAATAAAAAGAATAAGTTTTTAAATTGATCTGTTACGTACCATTCATTACGTGATTCGTCAGATTTATGATTTTCCTCTTTGTTAAGCCTAAGTTGTTCCAATTGAACAGTAACAATGCTTTTCATTGCAGACATATTGATCACTTCTTGTTCATCCACTTTTTGTGTTACCACAGATTGAGAGTTTGAAAATAGCGTATTAGTTACATCAACATCATTATTCCAAACTGTTTCCATATCTTTCTGAGGAGAATCAACCACTTTCAAAGGTGATTGAACTATATCCTTGTTTACTGTGTTATCGTTTTCATTTGTATCTTTGTTTAAAACAGAATCAATTTTATTTAATTCAGAATTATTTAAAGGAGTTGAAATAACTTCATTCTCCTCTTGTGTTCCTTCATTTACTTCACTTTTAACTGTATTATTTACTGTTTCTTTCTCATCTGGAAGTGTTTTTGTGCTACAATGTAAAAGACACACAACATTAGGAAATACAATTACAAATAATTTTTCAATATTTTACAATTTTTTTTTGAATATATAGAACTCTACTATTGATTAGATATCATTTGCTTACAAAATTATAATTCTTACTGTATGAACAAAAGAACATTAATCATCATAAATAAATGTAAACTTATTCTGACATTGTATTTATAACTTTGCAATAGAAGAACTTGTTATTGAAACAACAACGTAAAGATAATACAGAAATGCAAAATAACTGAGTAAATTAAAATATATAAAATAGATACAAACGTACTGGCCTGATAACTGAGAATTACTTTTTAGCCACTGCATATTATGCATCTTGCCGATTAAGGCCATCTGCTCTATATCAAATGTCTTTTTTAAATCAGTATCACCGGAATCCATTCTACCTATTACAAATTTAGTTACAAAAAAAACGAAATGTGATCTTCATATTACATCATCTTATTCAGAATCAAGAGCAAAGAAACGCATGCTTGTGAAATAACAGGTACAATTCCAATGTCGCAGGGACAATCAGTCATCAAATGTAAAACAACGAAACAGCGCAAAATATTAAAACTGAAACACATACAGAATAAATAGTTGAACACATTGTACCTTCGCAATACAATGGGCGATAGCTATTCTCTATTAATACAAATTACTTTCTTCGAGTAACCTGAGGTCATTGGCAAATTTTGTAACGATAAATGAAAAAAAAACAACAATAATAATAACCGTTCGATACGATACGTTACATCGCATAAAAATTCATGAACTGGCTCTACGGCCAACACACAGGGAGGTACAACAAAAATGACAGTCACTTCGGTCAGCGAGTCCGTATCCTCGTTGGGACATCAAAAACAACAACAATAAACTCGTTTACAACTAGTCATCGTTTCCGAATCTCTCGACTCGGCGACGATACGGTTATCTACGATACTGATAAATTGTCTAGTTACCGTGTAATTTAGTCTCTCAACGACGATCAAAGCGTTAAACCAGAGTCTTTAGCAGCGGACGTTTCACTCCCATTTAACTTACGGGGATTAGAAGGAACAACCGACCGCAGTAAAGGACGCCATAATACTGACGGACAGGGAGATGCGTAAATGCAAACGAAAGAGAAATCTCCAAAGCGTGCGAGAGGAACTCGACTCTCGCGTAGCCTTTTCATCGTACATATTTATCCGGCATTAGGTCGCTCGATAAACGTGACAGCGATCTCCGACGGTGATTCCCCGCCTAGAGGGGAGGTTGCCTTTTTGTAACCGTAATGAACTTTTCGAAATTCAAATGATGCCCCCGTTTGAAGGACGTTTCGAAACACAGAATTTATTGGCTGTCATCCGAGACGAGATAACAAGTTCTCCTGAACTCGTTCTTCCTAGATTACCGACTGCAGCGGAGATGCAGTCCCTCTGCCGGCAAACGCGTGAACTGCATTTTCTCTCTCTCTCTCTCATCCAACCATCCCTACAAACTCAAATGCCGATTCTTACGCTCAGTTCGTAGTAAGATCGTGCGTGGTGTGTACGTGCGATCGTTTCGCGAAAGTGTATTTGGCCATTTCTTTTTTTTT